CAACTTGTTTCTCTTGCTTCTTATCATCACTTCATGAATCAGAGGATGTTTTAGCCAAAGGGACCCTTAGAGTCATCTGATCTGTTGCCTAGTTTACAGATGGGGAACTGAGGCTCAGACTGAGAACTCATTCAAGGTCATGCGTGTGTAAGTGGTATAGTTGAGTCTTCAATAGTGTTTTGTTTAACCCTCAGAGTTTCCCTTATTTTCCCTTTATCTGTCTTTCTCTGTAATAATTACTCACATTCCAGGAAGAAAGCACCATCCATTGAGAGCTAGCTGTGTGCCTGTTCTTCAAATAGCACCAGACTAGCAGACAACATGATTACCAGTCACTGATTCATATAATAAAGCTTGTGTTTGGAAGTCGGATTTCCATTTTATGAGGGAAATCTTAAGGCAGACACATCCATACTGAGAATCTATGAGGCTCCTGTCTTTGTTCCCAAGCTCTTCCTTCACCATTCTGGAGCAGCTTTGTCAAATGTGATGAAGGCTTCATCACCAGAGTTAGGAACAGCTTTGCTGCTTATAAAGCTGGATTACTTGGGGCAAGGTGTTTCCCCCTTCTGAATCCGTTTCCTTATTAAATAATGTGGTGCATGGCATGTACTTCTTATAGTTACTGTATTACATATGGAAGTAAAAACATAAAATACAATGGAAATGAGGGGTAGTAGGGAGTGGGAGAGGGAGGGCAATGTTCAAAAGTGCATCATTGGAATGAAGAGATGACAGCTCTGAGTGGTTGGGAATCTTGTTGGTACTTCTGCCCAAAGACATGAAACTGATGAATGTCCCCTTCCTGGTGACTTTACTCCAGTGAAAGGCGTTTTTGAAGGGTTGCGCTTCCCATAGGAATCTCTTTGGAAGCTTGGGTTAGAAAGGCAGATTCTGTCTTGTGTAATAAGCAAAAAGTGGCAGGAGAGATGATTTTGATATCTCTTTCATGAGTGGTGGGGAACCACAGCTGCTGCTTCTCAGGAAAACAAAAGTATCTTAAAGTTTGGGGAAGAAGTGGCAAATAACTGAATCGATTGGTAGATTCTATAAAAGTCACCGTTGTGCATTGAGCATGTTTTTTGGGTTTAATCCAGTGCCTTGAAATGTGAAAGACACAAAAATAACGTGCAACCAGATCCACATGTGTGAGGAGTTTACCTTCTGACTGGGGACAGATGATAACCAAGATTATCTGAGATTAACAACCCAAACTGTATTGGAAGGAAAAACTGTCAGATGTCAGAAGAAGCAGATTCATGCAGGGTGATAGGGAGTCAGTAGTTACTTGTCGAATGGAATTGTGAATGTAAGCCTTGGATTGTTATGTAGCAAAAGATGAGCTGTTGTTCCAAGCGGGCATAAACCGTGGGTTGAACACAGAATTTAGGGGACACTGTGAGAGTCTTGACTGGAGCAGAGGGTGGAATTTGGCAGATGATGGAGGCTAAGGTGGATAATTAAGGCCAGGATAATTTTGGAGGATTTAGGAATCTAGGAGTTAAGGAAACATATTGGTTTAAGGGGTGTGTGTGTGTGTGTGTGTGTGTGTGTGTGTGTCTGTGTGTTTATAACAGTCCTTGGTATGTGTTTGTGCTAGGTGCTGCCTTTGAGAGTTTTTTGCCTACTTTCCTGCTGACAAGAACGAGGAAGGGATGGAGCTTGGTCATTACACAACACATTGTGACACAGCAACCTCATTACTTCCTGTTTCCATCTGCGAGCAGGGCCACTGGAAGGAACAGACCAGTTCTGTGGGAGTCAGTGAATGGGGACTGGGGGGGGAGTCAAGAACATGAGATCTATATTTTCTATGGAAAACCAGACATATACTTAGTGGGCAAAACCATTGAGTCACCCGACTCTCAGATGAAGGAGGAGAACTTCAATGGAATGGCAGCCGTGGCCCAGTGGCCCAGTGGCCAAGAAGAGGTCTAGGAGTCGATGGGGAACTAACTGCTACATCTCAATCCAGTGTAGTTTCTCCGAATCCACTTCATTGGCCCAACCTTGTTCTAAATTCATAGTCTAGTCCAAAAGCTCAACAGTAAATTAATATCAACATAATTTGTCCAGGCTTCTGTGCCAAGACTACAAAAGAACACTCTTTGGGTAAGTCCCTCCAAAAAGAGAGACCACTTAAAAAAGATGTGGCTGGAGGTGTGCTCCTTCCATTCACGGATAGACTGCGAGGTAAGGAAAAATCTGCAGTCAGGCTGCAGACATAGGGTGAATTGCAGGTTCGAGAAAGAGGAGGGAGTACCCACAGTTCACAGTGCGGGGACAACTTTCTTCATTTTTTTAGTGACCCTTGTGTGATCTGGCAGATGGACTGAATGACCATCCTCATGCGCTCATTAGAGCTGCAGATATGGGGAACATCTTTGTTCCTTGAATCGTCAAGTGAATGGCTAGAACTGAATCTCTGAGGTGGTTCTTTCCTCCTGGAAGGATGCAGATTCCTTATCAAGAGAGTGAGGGTAACAACTAGACCTGCTTTAAAAACAAACACACAAAAAACCCAGCTTTATTGAACTCTAATTTATATACTATAAAATCCACCCCTTTCAAGTATATAGTTCAATGAATGTTAGTAAATTCACAGAGTTGTGTAACCATACCCTCAATCCGGTTTGAGGATGTTTTCACCTCCCTGAAAACCTCCCTCATGCCTGCTGTGTTCAATCGCCCTTCCCTCCTCTCCCCTGCCCAGGCAACCAGTAATCGACGGTACTATCTCCCATAGATTTGCCTATTCTGGACATTGCTAATAACTGGAAGCCTAAAATAGGCATTTCACATATGGTTGTCATTTAGCATAATGTCTTTTAAGTTCCCCTATGTTGTAGCATGTGTCCGTATGTCATTCCTTTTTGTTGCTGAGTAGTGTTCCATCGTACGGATATATCCTAGTTTACATATCTATCCATGCATCAGTTGATGAATTGTTTCCACTTTTTGGCTATTGCGAATAATGTTGCTATATTGGTTTCCTATGACTACTGTGACAAATTCCTACAAACTCTAGTGGCTTAAAACAACAGAAATGTATGCTTTCACGGTTCTGAAGACCAGGTGTCTAAGGTGAAGGTGTTGACAGCCCACGCTCCTTCTAGAGACTCTGGGGAGAGTTCATTCCTCGCCGCCGCCTCTGGTGGTGATGCCAATCCCTGACACAGCCTTTTCTTCCATCTCCATGTTGCCTTCTCTTCTATGCATCTCCCCTAAGTCCCTCTGGCCCTCTCTCCCCAGGATACATGTGATTGCCTTTAGGGCCCACCCTGATAATCTAGAAACAGCTCTTCCTCTTAAGATCCTTAATTTACTCAAATGTTTGGCCACACACGGTAGCATTCACAGGTTCCAGAAATTTGATGTGGCTATCTTCTGGGGGGTTATGTTTCTGCCTACCGCAGCAGTTGGGAATATTCACATAAGGTCGCTGCACAGATGTGTTTTCATATCTCTTCATAGGTAACTGGGAATGTCATTGCTGGGCCACAGTGGAAATTTAGGTTTTGCTTTCTAAGAAACTGTCCACCCGTTTTCTGAAGAGGCTGGGCCATTTTACATTCCTGCTCATGATGTCTGAGGGTTCCAGTCTCTCCACATTCTTATCAGTTGTCTGCCTTTTTGAAACTATAGCCATTCTAGTGGGGGTGAAGTGGTAACTCATTGTGGTTTTAATTTGCATTTCCCTGGCAACTAATGATGATAAGTATCTTTTCATGTGTCTTAGCCCGCATATGATTCTTGGTAAAATGTCTCTTCAGAGCTCTTTTTTTTTTTTTTTAAGATTTTATTTATTTATTTGACAGAGAGAGAGTTAGTGAGAGCAGAAACAAGCAGGGGGAGTGGGAAAGGGAGAAGCAGGCTTCCCACTGAGCAGAGAGCCCGATGCGGGGCTCGATCCCAGGACCCCGGGATCACGACCCGAGCCGAAGGCAGACGCCCAACTGACTGCGCCACCCAGGCGCCCCTCTCTTCAGAGCTCTTACCCATCTTAAAATTGGGTTGTCATCTTTTTGAATTATAAGACTTAGCCTATTTTTCGTAATCTGGCCCGGTCACTGCCAGTCCTAACGATGTGGTGATTGAGGTGACCTTGATGAGGAGGCCTGGGACCATTCAGGTCCCCAGGATGCCTGCAACTGGGATAAGGCAGCCATGTCTGCAGCGTGTCCTGTCAATCCGTTCTTCCCAGGTAGATGAGACTCACGGTGGCCTTTTGACTACCGATTACTATGTCAGAGAAGCGAGGAGATGACTCGTTCTGTGTCTTAGAGATCATAAGCTCAGTGGTGTTGTAGGCTGGCTATTGCCTGATGAACAAGGGGACTGATCTAAAGAACCCCACAGCATATTCTCATTGTAGCCTGTTTTTTTTCTTTTCTTTCTTTCTTTCTTTCTTTTTTTAACGGTTAATTTATTTTAGAGATAGAGAATGCTAGCAAGAGCATGAGCAGGGGGAGGGGCAGAGTGAGAGAGAGAACCCTGGAGCAGACTCCGCACTGAGTGTGGAGCCCAATGCGGGGCTCAATCCCAGGACCCTGAGATCATGACCTGAGCCAAAGGCAGATGCTTAACGACTGAGCCACCCAGGCACCCCTAGCCTGTTTTTTTTTTCTTTCATAACTTGCCACAATTTAGGTAGTTTTTTCTGTAATATTATACACTGAATATCCTCCTCCCTCTCCTAGATGATTGAAAACCCCTGGGATAAGGACCACATCTGTGTGTTTTGTCACTGTCACCGGTCTCTAACACAGTATGCCGTAGGCAACCAACCAAATTTTGTCAGATGGAAGAATGACTGGAACATACCAGTCATGGGGGTCGAGGAGGATGTCCTCTGCTTTGCAGTGGGTGATTCACACGAAAGCATGAAATAGAGGGTTGTTTGTTAAATAAGTAATTCATTAGCCACTGCATGTGCTGCTTAGGGACTTGTATTTTAACTGCCACTGATGCCATTTCCCCCATGTATTTCTCCTTTCCAGCTATCTATAACTACAATGCTTCTCAAGATGTGGAGCTCTCCTTGCAGATTGGAGACACGGTTCACATCCTGGAGATGTATGAGGGTAAGTCTGGATGGCCTTCTGCCAGACGGGGAAGGGGAAAAACGGTGGAAGTTACTTATTAATAAGGCACTTAGAGCAAACATCAATATGCTTTACTTCCTAAAGTCGTGCTAGTAAAAATCCAGGAAGTACTTTAGGTTATACAATTTCCTACCGAGGATGATTTCAGAACAGCCCGTTGAATACAGGAGTGCAAACGTGCCCAGACATCCAAATCTCAAAGTATGTGAGTCGTTGAAGCCCAAGCCCTGGATGCAGAAGGATCCGCCACAGGGCTGGCTTGGGAGGAGCCACGTGGGACACCAGATTGGCTGTCATGCCAAGGGGCACTGCTGATTAAGTGGCTCTTTCTACTCAGCACTAACTGTTGCCAGATTGGGGGAGAAATGAGGGAGAGACCTACTGGTGTTGCTGAGATTCTTTCACAGAATTAGGTCAGGGCTACGGCTGATCCAGAAAGCCCACTAGTATATTCCTTGCAACTAGCTCGGGCCACGGAGGTGGTTCCAGTTAACCTGTTACTGGGCTGTAGAATAGTACTCAGGATTCCTGATCTGTCTGAGAGGGACGAGTCATGTCTGCTTCCACTGCATCCCACCCCAGCCCAAGCTTTTAGCTCCAACTCAAACTCTCGGATTCCTAGCAGGACTCTTCCATGTATCCACATTTCTGATTCAGATCCCCAGAGTACAACAAACATGTATCCAGGCCACTGAAGTTGAGGACCAAAGCAAAGACCAACTTTTAGGGCCCATTTATTCTCTCTGAAGATTGAGACAGGAATGAGGTAGGACGCTAGGCAGACTTTTCTCATAGAGTGAGCCTTGTGAGAATCAGGATCTCTAGATTTTCAGGATCTGCACTCCCCCTCACCCCAGTAAATGCTCATGCTGGTGGAATGGCAGAGGTGGTCAAGAACCTAATGTGGATTCCTAGGATGGGGAAGAAAAGATGTGAAGCCAGGAGGAAAGGAAGCAAGGTTTGGCCATAGAAAAACTAAGTCATTCTGCCCAATTGCACAGAAGACTCTCTTATTCCTGCTGCCTCCCTTTATTTTTAGGCAGAGGGCAGGGGTTTGCTTCTCCCTTCCACACAAATCAAAGTACAATCATGCAGCTCTTAGGGGAAGGGAAAAGGCGGGGGGGCTGTGTGGACTCTTCCGCTACTCTCTCTTTTCTGTTTTCATCCTCACCATCTCAGGTCCAGCCCAACATCAATTCCATGTAGTCCCTAAGTCTCTGAGACGCAAAGGACAATCCACTATCGTCTCGTCTCAGGACTCCTTTGCATATTGAAACCATAGTCCCCTCAATACTTACTAGGTCATACCTCTTTGTTAGGGGCCAGATTAATCCATTCTATTTAGTGTATCTATGGGCACACATTTTTGCATTGTACAGGTGAAAGGTGTATATTCGGTATCTGTAACTCTTCCAAATGGGCTTGAGAAGAATGTATATTAGGATCATGGGGTGAGAGTTCTAGATGACAATCAGATTCTGATTTCTCCATCTTTTTTTTTTTCAAATTTGCTCTATGTTAATGTTTTTCTGCATTTTCCATCACTGAGAGAACCATGTTAAGTCTTCTACAGTGCTTGCAGTTTATGTCAGTGATGATTTACAGTGATGTCAGTTTTTTGCTTTATATATTCTCAGACCTGTTTTAGGTACATACAACTTTAACTTTAGTATTGTTATATTAAGCAATTTTAACTTTTAATTCCTGTTTATTACATCTTTTACCATTATTTTTGTCTGTAGCAATGCTTTTTCCTTTAGCCTAGTTTGTCTGAAATTAGAGTTAACTCATTGGCAGTCCAGGATTCCAGTTTTTGTTCTCTTGGACTCATGAGGCCATCAGAAATGCTGCCCATTCAGTACACTTTTTTTAATTCAGCAGGAGCCCCAAGAAGAGAGCAGCCTCGGATGCTGGTTTCATCTTTCTGAGTCTTGTTCTTTTTCAGATCTTGACCTCATAATTCCCATTTTACCATGTTAGATTTTCAGTATGTGTGCATATGTGTGTGTATGTGTTTGTGTGTGTTGTGTTGTCAAGTTTTTCTAAGTGTACTGTGTGTGTAGGAGGGAAGAGTGGAGAGTTGATTGGAAATAAAGTAGATAATGTCTTTTGAATACATTTTCAAAATTCTTTTTCATCTCTATGTGACACCAGCATATTTTTTGAAATAGCTAATTGGAGCACTTTGTCCTCATAGGATTCATATTAATGACCATTTTATATTTGCATCTTCTCCGTACTTTACTGAGTAATCTCCCAATTGACCAATGAACATTCCTAAAGGTAGCACTCCTCTGGAGCAAGCTGAGGGGGTCACTGAGCTTGGTTGAATATAAATGTAATCAGAGATGCACAAACACATTCATTTCATGTCCAAAAGCCACAGCGCTCCCAGCGTTCTGCAGCTCGGACAGTGGTATGCTTGCCGGTGCCGGCCCCGCTGATAGAGGTCACACAAAAACCTGCCACTTTATTGATGCTGCATCTTGAATATGATGATCCTGGTGCTCTAGTCCTGACAGCAGGAAGCTTGTATGCCTGTTAATTGCTACCATAAAATACTTGATCTGCCATAGGACTCCTTGATGTCGAAAAAGGATGTCTGTGCCCAAAACTGCTGTGTGTCAAGGTATGAATGGGCAGACTTAGAACATGAGCTTACAGAGTTCATTTACCACCACCAAGTGGCCTGTCAGTTTTACAGAGATTCTTATATTGGATTAAGCTTTTATATAGTGCTTATTTTATGGGATTAATTTTTTTTAATAGTGCCCACCTTGCTAGATGCAGTGATAGGTTCTTCTATCTCCTAAGTACTTCGAATTCTTGGCTGGGTTCTCAGATTCCTTTATTATTTCAGGCAATGCAGGACTAAGTGAGGGCAGGAGTACTTTGCAAACATTAAACACGGTGGAAAAGCTGAGTAATAACTTGAGTTCTCTCCCTTCCTCCCTCCCTCCCATCTCTTCTTTCCTTTAAAAAAAAAATAATAAACAGAATGGAAACACCCAGTGTACTGCCAGATGGCATTTAAGGCTAATGCTGGCACTATCTTCCAGCTTCCTGTTGAATTTGGCTCCCAGGGCTCCCCACTGCACGCTCTGCCCCCCCCCCCCCCCCGCCTTTGCGATATTCACATACCAGACCAGTGGGTGCTTTTTCTGGTGTGGACGGGAGTCTACCTTTCTGGAGCCCAGATACAGAAATTTCTTTTCTGCCCACAACCCGCCACAGAATACCACTTAGGACTCTTCTTTTGCTGTTTCCTGCCCTGTGGTTGAATGAATAATTACGAAAGTGGTAGCTCCTTGAAGGCAAAGCCCGCTCCTCTTTCATTTCAGGGCTGGTGCCTAGGATAGCACCTGGCATAGAGTGGGTGTTCTGCAGAAGTCTGCTAAATGAAGATAAAATACGAGACCAAGGCAAACCCATTGGAGCAAGGCAAGCTAGTGTGGAGAGTAAGAGGGGTAGGGAGGTCACCTCCATAAAACCCCAGATATTATAGGCAAAGCTGTTCTTCTCCTTCCATGAGGGAAATACAGGAGGTTCCAACATTTCTCCACCCTTTGCAGACTGCAGAAGGATTTGTTATTGCATGAGTTTTTTGCTTTTGTTTTTAATAACAGCTTCATTGAGATCTATTTCAAATACCATGCAATTTACCCATTTAAAGTACACGATTCAATGGCTATTTACAAAGTATGCCATTCACAGAGTTGGGCAACCATCATCACTATCTACTTTCAGAACATTTTGATTATCCCAGAAAGAAACCCTGTACCCATTTGGTGGTCATTATCCCCCAGCTCCAAGCAACCACCAACCTAATTTCTGTCTCTGTAGATTTGCCGAGTCTAGACATTTCATGTAAATGGGATCATATAATATGTGGTCCTTTGTGACTAGCTTCTTCTACTTAATGTAGTGTTTTCAAGGTTCATCATCATTATAGCATGTATCAGTACTTCCTGTCTTTTTATGGCTGAATAAAATTCGTTGTATGCATATATCACATTTTATTTATCCATTCATTAGTTGATGGACATTTGGATTGTTTACACTTTAACCTATTCTGAATAATGCTGCTATTAACATTTATGTACAAGTTTCTGTGTGGACATATGTTTTCACTTTTCTTGGGTATGTTCCTGAATTGCTGGTCATATAATAGCTTTTATGGTTAACCTCTTGGGGAACTGCCAGACTGATTACTTGAGTTTTGCCACTAAAATAGCCCAAATGAGTGAGCTGTTATCACTTATCACTCATGTCTTTCTGTCACCTTGCCCCTGAACTTCATTTGTTACTAAAAATAGGGGCAGGGAAGTAGAATTGACTGAGAAGCTATATACTGCTCATCTTTCACAGGCCCCCAAGAACTATTTTCCTTCAGAGGCTTTTTCAGGGAACAAAAATCCTCAAGGGCTGAAGCAAGAGTCCTCTCTCTTTTCTTCATCTTTAGTACTAGCCTAGCCTCTAGTCATTGCCTTGTCTTTGCTTCTTTAACCAGACAAGGGATTTGATAGTGAGACAGCTATTCCCCATCTAAAATGTTCTTTCCCACCCCAGATCCATGGGCATGGCTGAAAAAAATCACTGCTACCTGGAGATTCCAGTTGTGGTCATTTGTTCATTCAAAAACACTTGCTGAGCAAGTATTACGCTCTTTATTATATGCCAGGTACCTTTATTGAGCACAGGAGATGTTCTAGGCACTGAGGTCACCTGAATGACGAAACAGCAAGGTTCCTGTTCTCACAGGGTTTCCATTCGAGGGATAGACAAAAACAAGTGAACTAAGTAAGTAAACAAAACAATTCAGATACTTAAAAGTCCTACGAGGAAAAAAGGTTGGTATTTCCAGGCCCAGAAGAAGATGAGAGTGATGGACAGGGAACAGGGGGATAAGGCAGGACTACTTTTGTCCCTTTTGAGGGTGACCATCCTGGGCAGGACACTTAAACTCTTTTTGTGTCATG